TGATCGATGAGACTAGAGCAGTGGTAGTTGTTCTGCATGTAATAATTCAGTGGCTGCGGCGGAATCAGCACACATGACCAACGTAATGCCTGCTTGGTAAGATGCCGGAATGCGAATGTGAGTCGCACCAGTAGTCGTGCTATTAGGTTGTTGCCTTTGACTCATTGATTCTCGTACCATATTTACAACTTGACCTGTACCACAACAAATATATGTTTCATTAAAATTACAATTAAATTATTGTAACTAAAAAACTTAAAAAATATGTATACATATATATATTATATACATAACATACCAAGGACATTAAGTTTTCGCCACTTTTGATCCATCGTCGCAAGCGGCGTTAGATCTGTATTTTCATTCCAATGCGCTAGAACGTCTGTTTTTCTTATTAATAAAATACTAGGGCTAACTAATTGATGCCATACGAGCTAAAAATCACAAAAAGAGAGAGAGTTATGATTAAATTAATTCCACAATAATTATATTCAGACATGATAATTTGTATTATTAATTTTGTATATCGATCATACAAACCTGTTCAGGCAAACATTCTAAAGGATTTGTTAAGTATATACCAGCTTGTCCTACACCGAATATCATTTGATGATGCCATGCGTCTGGTATATCGCAACCTTCTCCGCAATGTTGTAAATTCAATGTTGCGATTGGTGCTGCTCCTAAAATGTGAAAATATAATATTTTATACCTACATACATTATACATTTTAATAATATATATTTTCACTTAACGATATTTATTTAAATAAAAACATTCTTTAATCTCTCACCTCTGGAAATCCAATAATGCAACCAATGAGATAATGAAACCTTTCTTTCGGGATAAAATGCAAAAAATTTTGTTACAACTGCACCATGCGTGGACAGAGTGATCCCTCGTGCTATGTCTTTATGAGTTGCTCCTGCCACTGAACGACTAACAAGATACCTTGGTAGCGGTACACCCAATTCTCTCAATTTTGTATTTACACCTTTAACTAATACTTCCAGCGAAAATGATACATTTAAGGCCAACTAAAAATAGATGATTTATACATGAACAGATTCGATCAAACTACTGCAAAAATTTGCAAGTTTCGTCATTGTTATATATTTATGGCTACGATCCACTTGATGTTACAATTTGAAGTATTTTTTAATTGGTCAATTAGTAAAATTCTCTTTTTTCTAATTAATAGATTCAAATATTTGAAAGCATTTGCAGCGTTAAGAGGACCGCACACTATCTACTTGAATATTACCAAAGCATTAATTGCGGATGTAGCACCACAGGCGGAGGTACCAATTTGCGTAACTTGCTTCATCGTGGCTTCTTGTTCGCTCCACAGCATTACTTTTTCAACTGGTGGTAATCCATCTAACCGTTCGTTACATAATTCATTTTCCTGTTCAAATGTTGTTTAAAATTTAATAAGACATAGTTTGTTCAACATGATTTAAATCTGTTTAATAGTAAATATATTAACCAGATTGGAATCACCACTTTGATTAAAGGCAGCATGCTTATTGAGCATTAGTTTCTTAGCCATTATTCGATGATAAAGCGTAGAAATGAGATTAACCTTCCTGGCATTTAAATTGGAATTGTCCGGGAGAGATGCTGTTGAGGACTCAACCCATAATTCGGAATCCGAATCTCTATTATCACCAGGCGATATAAGATCACCACTTGTGTTATGATAACCGTATGATTCACGTACTGGACAACCTGTATTACGATAAAGTGTCGCGCTATCCCATCTTCCTGTAAATTTCGTATAACGTGAAATATCTTGTATAATGATAAGACTAGAACTTGAATTGTTAGAGTAGTCATAGTCATGAAATTACCAGTTCCAGCGCTAGTACTAGGCATCCATGGAGCTGAATAAGTTGACTTTGCATTTTGTTCTACTGTACATTGATTGCTTGTGCATTGTTGGAAAGTAGTATGATTAACATGCTGTGTAGTTTGTTTTGAAGTCTGCGGCATCGATACTAATCCCTGTCTAGACACGACCTTTCCACTACTCAGATCATTTAGCACTGGATCTTGTTCTACATTATCTAATGCTATATTTTGTATATCTTCATTTATAGAGGCCAGATCACTATCTCCAGTATCCTTTGAGGGCAGAAGAAATATTATAATCTGACTCGATTTCATAATACAGCAAATATCTTACCTGTTCGCAAGAAGGTCCAGGATCAAAATCCATTTCTAAGTAATCCATCTCTGGACTCGACCTACCACTATGGTTCTGTCCCTCTGCTTCCTGATTTGCTGCATGGTTCTGATTCAATTCTTCTTGTTGATCTGAAGGAATCACATCATTGTTTCCCTTATAAGTATAGAAACAATAGTCTTCTCCATCAGACATATCTCCTTCATTTCCAGAACTAGAATCCATCCGTTCTATCTGTTCTCTTTGTGAAGTCTAAAAAAGCAAGAAAACTCTAAATTCTGTGAAAAATATAAACATTCAGTTAGAAGAATCGGTATGTGAAAACATACTCTCTGTAATCCACTGGGTCCAGCAACTTCTCTACTGCCATTGATATTAGGTCTCAAAAAAGAGCAAGTTCCTTGACTCGTCGAACCTATACTACCACCTATATTATTTAATACACGTTTAGATCCATAAGACTTTGATGTCCAGCAACAGTCTGCTTCTGGACTAGAATCTGAACTACAAGAAACCTTAGAAGGACATTTCTCTATGGCAGATGCATAATCCACATTATTCTTCATATCCATGTCATCGTTTGATTTAATCGTTGATAAATTAGGAGGTATTACTGATACATTTAACGTAGATACACTTGAATGTAACATAGCACTGGTAGTTGCAGTAGAATTAAGAACTGCTGGCCCTAAGTTATGATTATGATGTATATTTGCTTGAGTGGAAGATAGATTCAAGTGCATCTGAGATTTAGGCAGATTCAACGAGCTTGCATTCATGACAGTCTTATGCTTCAATTGACAATTAACAGTATTGGTGTTTACAGTCTGAGACTTGATATTGGCGGTCGCGTTTGTAAATATGGAAGATATATTCGCATCTTGACAAACGTTCTGCTCCAAAAAATTGGCACTATCAGACACAGGGGTTTGTATGGAGTTTGTCCCATTGGAAAACACAACGGAGGTTTTGGATGGCAGCACGAGCTTAATGTTACTCTCGCCGCTGTTGTTATTCAGCCTCAATTGCTCCTCAGCTCCGTTTTCCAGCTGTACTTTAGATGTTCTAGTGTCTTGGTCCACAGACTGATTGTCATTTTTCAGACCGACGTCCAATCTGACCTCTGCTTTACCCTGGCTGTTCCCATCATTCCCCTCTGGATTCATATTATCGTCAACAATAAGACTGGCAGCGATGGTATTACACGGCATCCTACAAACCAAAATACATATGTAACAAGGATATAACAAGTATCCCAGAGAATACTTTTCCTCAACAAAAAAAAAATCAGATTCCTCACTAATTTGACGACTCTGTTATCGCGGAATCCCGCTTACCATGTGCTGCGACACAAAATCACCCGTTAGAGATCGGGTAACGACACAGGGAATTCGATCTTCGAAAGATGCGATTCTGTTGTGTGGTTAGGCGGGGATCACATCGCTTCGTTCCGGCCGGAACTGCCGAATGCAGAAAAGGACTTGCGCGATCCCGCGAAAGCGAGACTGTGTCTCGCGCGCGTTTTGTTTCACGAAAAAAAAAAGGACACTCTTCCGTCAGGCGAAACTGCCGAAACACCTCGCTAACATTCTAATAACGTCTCACAGTGGTACCGGAAGTCAGCTGATTGTTGGAAACGAGCATACACGCAAACGAACTCCATCGCATTGCATCGCATCGCTCATGCCGCCTTTCGTTTTTTACTCATTATGTATCCTCTGTTTTTTCTTTGTTTGCTGACACAATTGCCTTGAAGACGACTCCTCGTCAAAATTATGACAAAACACGTATTCATGTATTACATCATGCGTGTACTGAATATATTGTATATTGTCGGTTTCAATCGCGTGACGCAGCGTGCATTTTCGGTACACTCGGTATCGTTAATGCTTCCGACATTCCGGTTCCGGTTTGAATTATTATCGGAAAAAATGTGGAAAACGCGAGTTTTTCGATGAGAGAGGGAATCAAGCCGAGTGAAAAACTGGCGTAGGAAATCTGATTGGCTGCTCCATATTGTTTCTCCTCAATTATCAGTGTAAAGATTTTTTTGTGTTAAATTTATTTAACATATTACACAAGTCTCAAATGGTCCATTTAAATTTTTATGTTAATTTAACATAAAAATCGTTCTTATTATAGATAAATGTAAAATTTTGTTTACTATGTACTAATAAAAAAAAATAGCAAAAAAAGATTGCAATGCAATGAAATAGCCGAATATTGTTCTTAACAAATATGTAATTAATACAAATATATGTAAAAAAAAAATTAAAAAATGTAATACTGACATTGTGGAAGCATATTTTTTCAATAAAATTAATATTTATGTTAAATTAATATGTATTTTATTCATTCATTTTAGAATTTACGTTTTAAAACACATTTATATTTTTGTTATTTGTTTTTTACTTATAATTTGTATTATTTCGATATTAAATGTTGAATATTAATTTAACATAAAATAATTTTATTAATAATTTAAATAAAAAGTAGCCATATATAGGCCTGTTCTCCTTTTCTATTACTTTAATTTTTTGTGTATTTATAGTCATCTTTTATCTTTTTCTATCTAATGTGAAAAGAAAAAAAATTAATCATGTAAGAAGTTCAATCCTGAACTATGGGAAAAAATAGGCCTTTATTAAATTAACACTCAAATGTGTTAAAAATTTAACATAAAATTTTAACAATCAAGGACCATTTCTAATACATAAATATAAAATATTTTTTATTATATACTAATGAAAAAAAAATAACTAAAAAAGTTTGCATTTAACAATGACGAATAATTGTGACACGTCTGGATTAAATGCTTAGAGCTGCTTACAGCTGTCGAACGTGTGTGAAAGAGTCTAATGTCATTAATGGCGCCAAGTGTATGTAGTGTATACTGGTGTGTATAATATTCGACGAGACGCTGCCGTGCTTCTCTTTCACGTGTCTGAATAATAAAGTCGGGACTTGAAACGTCGAATACGCATCCGACGACTGGTGAGAGGAATTCTCGCGCAGAATGAATGTCGTTCGGATTAATTCAAAGAACGTGATATTCCTTTTCATGGCACTTCTGTCAACCTCTGTTCAGGAGGCTCGCATGGATTACGGTGAGTGAATTTACTCTCTAACAACTAATTTGGGAAGTGACAAAGAAAAATTTGTTCACGTGAAAATGTTTGTGAGATCTGGCTTTTCATTATCTGATTAATTTGTGGTTTAGACTTAACCTCACTTAACTTAATAATAATATAAAAAACATTTTTCTAGTTATTATTATAATTTTGTATTAATAATTTCAAAGTTATTCACTACAAAATCATCAGTGATTAACTAAAGACAGAAAAATACAATTTTCATTATCATTAGATTAAGCTTAATCATAAGTTAATCAGCAAATGAAAAATTGGACCTAAATATCAGTATTAAAGGTAAAGTTATTTGTATTAATGTTGAAGCATTGAAATATTTGATTGTTTTTTTACACATGCATTTATAATTTGATTCATTTGATTGTTACAGGCACTGCAACCAGCTATGCTCTGAAAGAAGCTAATGTAAACTCAACACCAGCCTATAGTAGCAAAAAGGTAAGATTCTTTAATCGATTATTAGAACAGTAGATCCTGGGATATTTTCTAAATTATTTATTTAAGTTATTTTAATTTTTAAATAACATAACAATTTGAAATAATATTAATTTAATTTGTTTTACAGTCTTATTTTTCATAGTTTTGTTCTATTCATGTAGACTAATTATTGTACTATATGCCAAGTGTGGTAATTCTTAAAGAAAATCAAATTAATAAGAAAAAACTTTTGTGAGTTCCAAGAGTTTCTTTTAGCATTATAAAAAAATATGTGTTCCTATTAAATGTGTTAAATCTAAGTAATAATTCCATGTTATAATACTTAAGAGTACAAATTCGATCGTTAAATTGCAGGAGGAAATGGCTAGTCTGTGTCCGAGCGGGATACCTTGCGTAGAATTGAGTGGAGAATGCTTGAAGTGCAACTTAAATTACAGCTGCAAATATGGAGCAATGTATGAGGCAAATTGTTCCGTGATGGAACATGTCGATTGTATAGTATGTAAATCTTGTGAAAAATCATGTGTTTTTTTCCAGCTTAAAATTAAAAATTTTAATATATTTTTTAATATACAATATTAAATCGCATGTTTCAAGATATAATTAAATTGGATGTTTTGTTTATTATAACAGGGAGAACAGACTTTCACGAAGAAATACATGTGCCGTTACTGTTATCAAACTGATCATTGGGAGCATCAGTGCCATCAGAAAAATTCCTGTAGCTCAGTAGCTTCTCCTCAGCAGTATTATAGGTAATGTAACACCATTTTATATATATATAAATTTATATATGATAATTTGTGTATATATTAGGTGTTGGAATTAATTCGTAGCGTTTTTAATGAAAGAATGTTATTTATTTCACATGAGCATTAAAAAATACATTAATAAAAGTACTTCCCATCACTTGTAAAACGCTACGAATTAATTCCAACACCTAATATTTATATATACACTCTTATCAGCGACTTTAAATATACAGTCGTTTTTTGTGAATTCTGATAGATAAATTTAAATCTATAAAAAATAAGTAAAATACAACCTAATTTCTATCATAAACTCGTTTTTAATGCTTTTGCAAGTATACAAGAATTTTTTCAGATTTTTGTACAGTATAAAACAATATAAAAATCTGCATTGTAGTTTAAAGATTCAGGTTACGAACAAAGGATGAAAACTTCATATTGTCGACAGAAGAAGATATATATTATATATATATCTTTCTCTCTCTCTGTGTGTGTGTGTGTGTTGTGTGTGTAATAATATTATGATATTAACATTCTAATATTTTTGATGCAGAACAAATTGTACAGTAAACAATGACATACTGTGTCTGGGCAGACGAAAGTTTATGAAGAACTTATCTTGTAACTGGACAGTTGGATATCGTTGGTCTACGGCTTTGATCTTAAGCATTACTCTTGGAGGATTTGGTGCAGATAGGTATTTTATGAGACTTTAGCATACTATTTGGAACATAGACAATCGATAAATTTCATATAAGATTCTTATATGAATTATAGGTTTTACTTGGGACACTGGCAAGAAGGTATTGGTAAGCTTTTTAGTTTTGGTGGACTAGGTGTGTGGACTTTAATTGACGTAATATTAATCTCTATGAGATATTTAGGCCCCGCTGATGGCTCTTTGTATATTTAGATTATTTATGAATTTTGTACATATCAATATCAGAAAATCTAAGTCTTATTTTTTATTATAATTTATGATAGTCATTAAGAATGTGTTATATTTGTTGAACTAGGTACAAATTAATGTGATAAATGTACATACATAAATGCGAGCAAGTCTTTTATAAAAATGAAGTTTAGCCATAGACAATAACTGTCAACATTTTCACATAGATTTAGTGTTGTTTTATTAATGTTTAATATAATCTCTGTATAAAACTCTTAGAAGAGAAGAAAGCAAATGTAAAATGTTGGTTTTTGTAGAAAATTATAAAAATAATTATATATGGAATAAACAATTATATACAATATTCTGTTAATAAAAAATATGTATTTATAGATCATAAAAAATGTTGTAAAAAAATATGTATGTTAATAAAAAATATGTATTTATAGATCATAACAAATTCTAATTTAATTTTTATTTAAAAGAAAGTTAAATTAAATTATGCTATTTTGGATTGTTATATTTAAGACTATCTTAAGTACATTTAAAATGTCACGAACCAATCGAAGGGTCATATTAGCATTTTAAAACTATTTAAACCGATCTTATAATAAGAATGGACTATGCATACCAGTTTTTATCTTAGAGATAAAGTACAACACAAGATCTTTTATGTTGAAGACATAGATTAGAGATCAGAATAGATTAGAGAATTTAAAACATCTGTAAATTTAATGTAAATAGTAGCAAATATAAAATGTTGATTTATTTATTGTGTACTCTAAAATTTTTAGAGTAAATCTTATTTTATGTGCCTTTCTTTTTCAAGACTGGTTCAATTTTCATTCTTTAGTGTGAGATTCCATTCCAAAGAATTTATAGAACATCATTTTATTCTTGTTCATTACATATTAAACAAGGATAAAGTAATATATCATGTTCATTTACTCAATATGTATTTTATGGAACCAAACTAAATCAGCCACTAGAAGACTGTTAGCCCTGTTAGGTTTGCGGTTAGGAGCATCGAAGTTTGTGTTTAGGAGTGTATCGGTGTATATGTAGATGACTGTGGTCGGTACATGATAACATTATTAATCTAAGAAATACATTAATATGACAGAAGTATTGTTAACAAAATTTTTTAATATTTATTAATTTGAGACGAGCAACTGTTCTTTGCGAGGAAACAGACATCAATACACAGGAAAATTTAATACGTGGCTTACATAACCTACATTTATTAATACGTTGTCAAAGAAGTATATGTAGATTCAGAAGAAAAAGTTGTATTCGACTAGTAAATATATTATGGGATTTAAACATCTGTAGTCTTTAATCACGCTGACGTTATTTAGGCGTCAAAATGCCTACGGTAATAGCGTTGGATGTCTCTCTCTCAATGAGGAGACGTGGATCTATGATTGGAAATGAATATTCGCCAAATTATGAATCATTGACGCGGCATCAATTAGCACTGCATGGCATAAACACTCTGTTACACTACTTGCAAGTTAATTCAAAATTAGAATTTGTGTCAGTGGTAAGAACAGACTAATATGATGTCAGATAACATATCTGTTATAACAGATATATTAATACATGTAAACTTAACAAATTTTAAATTTCAGATTGCATTTTCATCATTGTACGAAGTAATTTGCCCTTTCACTCGCGATTATGAGGGCATACGCAGCAAGTTACGAATTATCGATGAGTGTGACAAGACATTTATTGAAGGAGCATTACATGGAGTTAATAATGTAATTATGGCAGAATGGGGTAATGCCACGGCTTGCCAAGTGATATTAATTACAGATGGCAATCCTGGCATAGGACCAATGTCTTTAGGCAATTCTTTAAATTCTTTAAATGTCACACAAGATGTAAATCCCTTTCCCCTACCTTTTCCATATCCAGGAAAATTAAGTATAGTTTGCATTGCATCGCAGCAGGGTAAGTTGAAACGCGAAAAAACATTTTATTTTTCATTTCTTATATTTAAATATGTCACTTATATCATGTTTGTAGATCCTAGTTTGCAGACCGGTTTACCTCTTTATCAGCGTTTAGCTGACCTAGCTGGTGGTGACAGCATTCTATTAGTTCCTGAATCACCACTCAGCAAACATTCCATCATGACTTGCTTCCAAAAGCTAGCGGAAGCAAATTATGTTTCTTTCCAAGGATACCTAAAGTGTGGTCATTTAGGCTCCCGTATTTTATTATCACCAGCCCCTATGGTAATGACAAACATGAAAGCATATGCTATATTATACACTAGATTAAACAATTATATAGCCTTTGTATTATATATGTTTCAGCCTTATACAAAGAAGACAGATTTTGAATTAGCTCCAGGCTTGGCAATATCAAAAACTATAGAAATATGTGGATTTATATCTGTAGGAGACGTTGGTAGCCCAAGTTCCATTTCTAGACATTTAGTATTGCCATTGACAACAGAGAAAAATTCAAGCATGCAGGGCATATCATTAGAAGAGGAGTCTGATATCGATGAAAATGAAGATGAAGGAAAAATGCCGTCTTTTTGTGTGTTGCTTCATGGAGCATTAAAAGTAATGCCTTACTAGGAATCTAAAAATTATTTGAATGTGATTAAATCGATAGATAATTGATATATTTTGCAGGTAGAAAACATGGCAGCCCTTTGTATGTTGAATAACGAATGGTATGGATTTATATATTCTTGGGCGGATACAAAGAAGAAATCTAACTTAATGCTAACAGTATTAGAACCGGGATCTGACGTTGTGCCGTGGTTAGGTAATTTTAGCAATTTGGGTCCGTTAGATACAGTTAAAAGTTCTCCAGTTAGTTTTCCAGTTAGACCAACTGAAAAGAGAAGCTATACACAAAATGCTCCTTCATGGATTCGCCAAGTTGGCTTGCAGTCTGATATTCAAAAAATATTAAGACATGCGAGAAAATTGCCCGATAAGACACAAAACTTTTACAAGGTAAATTAGATTGATCAAAAGAATAAAGCAATTGTAAATGATAAATGATGTAAATGATAAATGATTTTATGAAAAGTGATAAATGATTTTAAGTGAAATGATTATTTTTTACGTATATAGGAAGTAAACAGATTACGACGTGCAGCAGCGTCTATAGGATTCATCGAATTATTAGAAGGATTAGCGTGCATTTTAGAGCGAGAATGCACATTGCTACCACCGAATCTAAATCCTGACTGCACGATCCAAATGGGACATGTTGCATCGATGATCAGAAAGCCAGAATTTCATGAACTTAGATACAATATTCCACCTGCACGAACGAAATTTCAACCTGGATCATAAATTGCAATGCATAGTAATTGGAATGTTACTATATTTATATCAAAACTGGACATTCATACAGCAAAAATAAAATTTGTATTTGTTATAATCTATATCTCATATTAATATCACATTATTTATATTAAGTACTTTTATGTTCCTAACCTTTTTTATTTTTTTCTAGATATTATGTCATATGTATATAAGAAAATGTATATAGACCTTGAACATATACACTATCATTCCTTATTATTAATCACTTAACAGCTTAGATTAAGACTGTTAACTCAATTCCAAATTTTTTATTAAGTAACATAAAATTTCATATAAACCATTCGCAGTTTGTTTACTAGGATACTTATTAAAATCTGGAACGTGCACAAATAGAGTCTTTGTTGGCTCAATACAGAGTGATTGATAAAATATATATTCACATAGATATCTGCCAGCATTGTCCGACAAACAAACTTTGCATCCGCTTCTTTCGAAGTTTTCATTCACATTATTGCAAAGTTCTCTGACATCTATCTCAGTTTTCAAAACTTTACACTCGACATCAGTTTCATTGGGGCATTTATTATATATATCGAATTTGTTGTAGCCATTGCTGTAAGCATGTTGCTCTATCGTTAAAGATTTAGCTTCACGTGATACACCCACATGTAGGACAATCTAAAACAATAGAAATAATAAGTGTTAATTAAAATATAAAATTTGCAATACAATCAATGAGAAAGAAAAAAATCAACGGTCAATAACGAATCAAAATTGATTATTATAAAATAAGATTGATAAAATTGATTCATTAATAAAAATATAAAAACGTTTCTACTAAATCTTCAATAGTTTTTCCTTTTCAATTTAACGTATTAATTGATAAATCTATTTAATAAAATAGGACAATGCGATATAAATTGAGATAGCATTTTTCGTACAAAACAAATAAAAAACATTAATGACGTTATATATTAAATTGAACGGAAAATGAAAATTTCATAATAGAGTCGATACGTTTATATATATATTTTTATTAATAAATGAATTTTATTAATATTTATTATTTTATAACAATCAATTTTTGTTCGTTTGACCTTCTCTTTTTTATTGAAAAAATAAATATTTATCGAGAAATTGTATACCTACATTTACATATAACACTACTTACTGAAGGATTGTGTTTCTTCCAGAGCTGAGGAATATGATCAGATACGTAATCATACGAAACTGGAATTTTTTCTGTAATCAGTTTAACGTCGGAAAATTCCACGGAATTCTTCCATAGTTCCTGCAATTCCTTCACCGCCTCCCAGCTGGCGTTCACTGTGTGTATACTGAATGGACCAAATCCAGTCACTAGAATTGTGCATTTAGCATTGACGTCCATTTTATAAATGCAATATTCAATAATCTATTTGGTTGAAGATTCAGCTTTATTTATAAGATGCTTATGAATGATTTCTCGGAGCACTATCGCGTAGTATTCCTATAATAATGTATCAGGTACACTATACTATCACGTGACTGACACCGCCTTAGAGATTCGCAAATGATAACGTGAATCACATTGAGCGTGTTTGCTCAACGTTCGCGATATAATTGACATCGCTAGAAAGTTTCGTTCGAATATTTATTGCATGCTAGTCAAGAAAACGGGGGAAGAAAAATATTGCATTATGGAGTGCGTTCAGAAATTGCGCCTAGATAATTCTAGTGTACATTTTTATTATACAATACTATACGTAACGTAAACTGTAGCCTAGAGTTATCTGAGCGTAATTCCTGAACGCATCCCTGTGTAATCAAATACTCACTTTGGTGCAACATCTACAATGGATGAATAGAAGTGGAATGAATAGAAGTGGATCCGATTACTGTCATTAATTTATCAGATCGAATGTCGTGATTGCGATGCTACCTACATAAAACAAACGGGAAGAAAACTAAAAATGAGATTAGCAGAACATCGCAATCATATATTTAGAGTTACATCCACTCGTTCGGTTATCACAGATCATAGGGTTGCAATCATGATTTTGATTGGGATAATATGAGAATTATGGATTCTGAGAGAAATTATAATAAGCGAATAATGTCGGAGATGCTCTATATAAATCATCAATCCAATGGTCTTAACATGCAAATTGACACTGAAGCATTAAATCATGGATACATAGAAATTTATTTTTTCATTGTATTAATTTAAGGAGTCTATAGATTTTGTATATTTTTTACTTGAATTTGTTTAACAGGATATTACTAAAAAGTTACTAAAAATCACTGAATATTGAATATTTTTTTACTTAAATACTATTAACGTTACAGAAAAATAGCGAGACAAAAATTGTTTATTTTTTTCTCATAAAGAATTCTCTCTGAGAATTTTTTCAGAATTTTTTAATACCGTATTTTCTCATGTTGGTAAAAATAATTGCTAATGTATAAGAAAATGCAGTACTAAAAAGTTAATAAAAATTTTTGAAAAAATTCTTAGAGTTTTATGAGAAGAAAATAATTTTTGTCTCTTGCAATTTTTCTAAAGTTGATAGTATTTGAGAAAAAAATTATTGAAGACCAATATTCGACAATTTTTAATTAGGTGTACAAATAAGTTTTAAAGCGTTTTTAATATTTATTTAGAAACGAAAACACACTTAATTATCAAAATAATCTCCATCATTATCTATGACCTTTAGCCATCTTTCGGGCAGCTTGCGAATTCCAGAAGCGAAGAAGGTTTCATCTTTCGATGCGATAAAATTATCCATCCATTTTCGCACTTCTTCAAATGTTCGAAAGTGTACACCGGACAAGGCGTTTTGCATTGACCAGAATAAATGATAATTAGAAGGGGCTATGTCTGGGCTATACGCCGGGTGCGGCAGAACTTCCCAACCAAGAGCTAACAACGTTTCCTTTACAGGTTTACCAGCATGAGGCTTAGCGTTGTCATGAAGCAATTTCATAGGACGTTTTCCTTTGTTAGTAAATGGACGATTTCGTTCGATTTCTTGATTTAAACGGATCAATTGTTGACTGTAACGATCACTGTTAACCGTTTCATTCGGATGGAGCAGTTCATAATATAGCACACCCTTCATGTCCCACCAGATGCATAGCATAACTTTGCTGCTGTGGATGTTGCGTTTTAGCGTTGATGTAGTGGGTTGTCCTGGATCCACATAATGTTTTCTCTTTTTAGGATTATCGTAAAAAATCCACTTTTCATCACCAGTCACGATTTTCCACAAAAAAGATTTTCTATGCTGTTTATTGTACAGATTCAAACACTTCTCAAGACGATCATTTTTGTTTTTTTCATTTAATGCATGCGGCATCCACTTTCCTTCCTTCAGAATCTTTCCCATCTGCCGTAAACGAATTGAAATATCTTGTTGAGTTACTCCAAGTTGCTGTGCAAGTTCGTTTTGTGTTTGACATGAGTTTTGATCGAGTAATGCTTGCAATTCATTGTTTGTAACCTTCTGAGGAGCACCACTACGTTCTCTATCGCTAACATCAAAATCATCCTCTTTAAATCGCCTAAACCAAAACTCACACGTACTTTTGGATACAACATTGACTCCAAGAACAGAACAAATTGATTCACATGCTTTAGCAGAGCTTTTTCTTTGATGAAATTCGTATCGAATACAGTGTCGAATAAATTGCTTGTCGCTCGCCATTTTAAAACTATTTAATTTTAAGATTGTTTCCAATTTTGTAGTCAATTATGTTTTTTAATAATACACATTAAGCGCCACTACATATCAAAAGAGCATGAAAATATTCTAAGTTTAAATTATATGTTACACAAAAAATGCTTTAAAACTTATTTATACACCTAAATATCTTGTTAACTATTGCGAAAATTGTAAAATGGTAAAGAACTTTTCGACTCAGTTTAATCTATTTTATCTTTAGTCATCCCTATTTTTATACAGCGAAAAAATGTGAATTATAAAATATTGTTTTGTATGGACATTGTTTAACATATTTTCTTTCTTTTTAAATAATTATTTTTTATGAATCTTTAAGATATGCAATTTTATCGAAAACATATAATAAATATAATAAATAAAATATAATAAAAAAACGTTATTTAAAATTTTTATTTTTCAGAAATACTATCATAAGCTACTTCACGTGTTTAAATTTAGTAATTTTAATTGGAATGTAAAAAAATATTTTGATGATCGTGCACGCACGTTTATATAAAAGAAGAAATTGGAATTACTTGGAGTTAAGGAATATATAATTTTTTTTATACATAATTGAAAGTATAACATGGAAAGTAAAATTATGCATATTCACTAGTTAGGATGCATTCCGTATTCACGCTTATACGCTGTAAATATTTCATGCTTATTGTATCTATCAAATATTAAACAAGAACAAATGATGTTTGTAGCGGTGTACGCATCTGATACAACGCTGTAAGCATCAAAACGTGCTCTTAAAATGTTGTTCTTCCATTTAATTAAAATGTTGATTCAATTTAAAAATGGTTTACAGAAAAGTTGCTAATTTTTAGCCACTTTTTTATCAACGCAGTGATATATATGTAGACAGAAACTTTATTAGAGCTGGATCTTTAACAATATTTCAGCAACGCTTTGAAATCTTATTTTGTCTATAGATTAAAATTTTTATTTATATAGATACAGTAAATAATTGAAATAATGAGTGAAATATACATATGTATGTAATAACTTGAATACAACGTTATATAAAAATATAGAATATATATAAAACTATTTCAGAACTCTTTTTATATAGATACTACATTAAGTCATTCGAGACAAAATATGCACATAATCTTTATGTATATCATTTATATATAAAATGTCTTTAAATTTGTTTATATATAGATACATAAATACTTTCATTATGAAGATCAATAGATTTTTATGAGATTCTGTTTGTAGGTAGAGATTTATTACGAAGCACTATATGTTATTGACACAATTTCATTTAAAGTTTTTTTTTACTATCATTGTCATTTTAGAAGTATTTATATATTTATATAGGAACAAGGTTTGATCACAATGTTTATAAGTCATAGTCAATTAGTATAAGTATACATGTGTAATGAAAGTTTGTTTCATAATATCACTGATTAATTCTATAGAGTTACAATTCTATAGAGTTATAATTATACATGTCGACGAATGAAAAGTAAAAATTAAATGCATTTATTAATAATTTAAAAAAAATTGAGGCAATTAATGTATTCATTTCTCCCATATTTACCTATATAAAATCATAGGTGATTATACGATTTGAAATTCTTGGTTTTCATCAACATGGCCAGTGTTTTTTGTACATAATTGTCAATAATTTCATAAAATCACCGAATTAAGTACATGTATATATATCTTAAAATATCTTCATATAACTTTGCATATAAAAATACATTCATTTATATTTCGAAGAATAAATCTACGTTATCACTGGCATATTTGTTGGAAATTAAGAGGAGAAGAAGCTGAACATTCATATACATATGTATGTATTTGTAAAAGATGAACGATAAATGCAACGGAAATTTCATATATGATTGAAAATATTGTATTTTAAGTCTGTACTAGTGCCAATAAGCATTTTTTATAATGTCCTGAGCAATCACCCTGAAGAAAAAAAAGAAGGAAAAAGAGAATTAATATTTTTATATTTTGATATTTTGATATTTGATAACTTACAGATATGAAATCTTCCAATGACTCTTTGTATCGATGGAGAAAATCATTCTTTATTTCACCCATATCCACTTCACAACGTGTCACAACCAATCGAATGAGACGATTATCATCCGTACCAATGCCTTTCATGCTTTTGTACAACTGTTCGGCGAAGAAACCGGCTCTGTTCTTGACACACTTTACTATTTAAAAGATATTTATTTTAATAAGCGGTAATATTAATAGTGTCTAGTTTTCTCTTATATAGCTTATTCTTACCAATTGCAAGAAGACCCTTCTTAATATCGCCCGAAAACTCATTTTCAATCGCATCATCAATATCATGGCCTGTTATGTTATGATATTCTTGGAATATTTGTCGCAGCTGTGCCATGTTTCTTTGGACAAGAATTGCGTTAAAAGTAGACTCATCCGTACCAAATCGAAGCTCCCCTGTGTAATATTAATAAACTATTGGCACAACATAATGATATCATCAAGCGTTTGAAATTGCCAGATGTATCAGAAATTAAATCATCTTCCAATGTTTTTCCGTACACTGTAATTATTAAATAGTATAAGTAAATAAGTAAATGTCATTTTGTAATTTTAATATCATTTATATTATTTATATTATTTATATTATTTAATCTTAATGTAATTGTAATCTTAATCTCATCAGTTAACTTACTTGCTTCATATGCTTGTTTAATAATCGAAATTTCATGATTGGACATTGTACATAATACTTCAATGAGTACTGTCTCATCGGTACCAAGACCAGACATTGCATCATGGAGTTCTTTAGCATAAAATTGAGGTAGAGGTATCATCAAGGCAAGAACAAGTTTTTCGAAGTTTCCTGACAGCTCAGATTTTAAGTCCTTTATAAGATCCTGTTAACAGAAATGCAACATATTGTAGTATTAAGTCCTAATTTTGCAAAACGAAGTTCTTAAACGAAGTTTTTAAATTCTCATATATTGTACCTTTCCATAAAGGGTCTTAAATTGAGATGCAATCTCTTGACGCTGTAGATTACTACGATTTGCAAGAACATGAATAATAGCTTTTTCATCGGTGCCAAATCCTTTCATAGCTTTTCTTAAAGTTTCAGCATCCGCTCTGGCATCAAAGCTATCGGAAGATACTACCGTAGGAGAAGTCTATAACAAAATTTGTGAAATTTTAAAAAATTTACGCAAAGGGTAATAGAAGTTTTTGCTTTTCTGCAGATTGTAATAATTGCTGCCTTAATACCTGTGCAAAAAAATGTTTTAACTTTCTGAAAAGTCTTAAAAAAACTATTCTTAATCTCACCTTAGGCGTAAACTGATTTCTCCGGGGGGCTGGGGTAGTACCACGAGTAGCAGCAGTAGGATTAGCAGCATAAGGATACTGTGAGCTTACCCCCTGCCCCCCGGGATAACTACCTCTCTGGTATGGAATTGAATTAGCTGAGTGTGCATTTGATCCAGAAGGATAAGGGGAAGGAGTTATATTGCTAAAATATTCTTTAGCATTTGGTGCTGTTTGAAGATTAGGATATGAATTATAATTTTGCTGTTGGGGATAAGGAGATGGTGCAGATTGATTAGAATGTGTATCAGGGGGATAACACGTGGGTATAGATTGAGGATATGGCATTTGTTGTGGAGGATAAGTATTAGTTTGATTGGGTGCATTGCCAGGGACAGAATACGAGGGCTGTGTTGGATAGGAAGCCTGAGAATATGGTTGAGGCATGCCAAATGATGTCGGTGGAGTATTTGAGAAGCCCATCGGAGAAGATGGAGCATTAGGGGCAGAGGGTGCACCAGGTGGAGCTCCAAACGATGTTGGTGGTCGTGCTCGTCCCGGAAATTGAATAGGTGGTCCCTTGGATATTAAGGTATATATGTATACACACAGAAACAAATAGTATCCAATCCGTGGAAGCTTCGTCTAATTATTTTCTTCAAATAATGAGCTTATTTTTAAGCTATGTTAATAAACTACATTAATAAGTTGTGTTAATAGACTGCGTAAGGTTCATATTTTCAAGCAAAAAAACTTATCATAGCTTTATAATCCAGATAAACGTAATACATTAAGCATGCAAACATTTTTATGTACACTTTGTGATATTATCATAACAGCACGAAATTATAATAAATTTATGTATCTATTATAATGTCATGTTGTTATACGTTTTGTGCATTTTACAACATAGCAATTATAAACAACACATCGCTGTCATTTTTACAGAACTCTATGCTGAAAACATTCATGTTATATGAGTACACATCTTTGAGTATTTATTGCAACCATTTTCAATTTTAAATTTTGCCATTCAGACAATATGCCAATAATTGTCTATATGGAAATATGCATATATAATCTTCCTAGATAACACACAACATCCATAGAACATCTATGAATGTTCTATGAATAGTGTACATTTTTAGAACATTCTATAAATATTTTTAGAAACTCTGCGCTGTATGCATCAATCCGTTTTCATAAAAATATGGAGTTAACACATAGTTTAAAAATATGCTCTTCAGTTGTTTTACAATAAATCGAATGTATGTACTTACTTGGTAACCGTAGCTCATTTTTTCTATTCAAAAATTAAACTGTCGCAATGGAAGAACCTGCACACAGAGAAGAACGCTAAATTATAGACTTCCTCTATCTATACACTGCATTACGGAAATTGTTAAATGGCGATTCAGCTAGTAATGGCGTGATATATATCTTGCGGATACAAAGTACTCGCCAGCCCGGATTCTCATGCAGACATTGCAGACACTGGCGCTTGCTATAATATTTTGACGTCCAAGCGTGAGTGATGAAAAATGGATGATGGAGATAAATCACTCCTATAATCTGTTTTTCACCAATCAATGCTCAGTGTTTGTACATACTATGTGGAATATGAGGTTCGGGTTAATGCATGTATGTGTGCAGTGTATGTTGTCACTATGACTGCGTCCCACTTAACGCTTACAACGTGGAATTATTTCATCCTTGTTGTTTATCAAATGTTAAACAAGGACAAACATGTTCGCGCGGGCATTGTGAGTGGTTGCGAGCAGAGATTAAGTGGAACGTAACCTATGATGTCCATCTAACTCCGCATATGAATTCTGACAACATTTGATCTGCGCGTTTTGCGAGTTTGTGCTAATAAAATGCCAGTAAAGTAATCAAACCTAAAATTGTCTGCATGTCTTGACTAGTTGTGAGTACCATGCAAACATCTGCTTTATCGCCAGAAAATAATACAGTAACAGAATAATGCTTGCATGGTACACTGAGTATGCCCTAATGTGTTGAAGTTTGATTATTGGATACATAATTTGATAATAATTCCGATACACACACTCTATTGTAGGTCTGATACATCACTATTATAGGACTCTATAGAGCATTTGCTATTTGCTGGAATAAGACCGCGAAACAGTCATAATATATTATAAGTTATATATCGCAAATCGCAGTTATTATTTATAAGCTGACACGTGTCACGCATATGTCAGGAATTGAGAGAGAATATTCACCTTGAAGAGAAAATAATTAAACAGATTGGTGCCAGCCAACGAAATATCGAGATGTTTTCGTTACGAAACACTGACAAACTACATGAACGGTATGCTACGTTAAGTTTTGTAGAATTTATAATGTCATCAGCTCTCGATACTGCCGAGACTGCCACGATCCGAGACGCCCGAGCTCTATCTGGCTGCTGGCTGCTAACAGCGTCAGCGTCAGTAGTGGGAAGGTCTTTTCTGATTTACATTGTACGTCATCAAGAATTCCAGGAAAACTGCAGTGTACCACAACAAGATTGACTGAGTGCTGCATTATAACTTGACAAGCACGAGTTGATGTTAAAATCTCATTTATCAATTTCTTTCTATTTATCCATTTTACTTATAGACTTAAATCTTTAAAGAATTTTAAAGCTTATAAATATAGTTAATTTATTTTTGTCTTTTATTTATTATATTTTTGTTTTTATATAAATAGGACAACTATCCCTATTAATGTGCTTTTTAGCCAATTTGCTTATTACTGAATTAATTATTGTAACTTTACAATATTTGTTTATAATATTTGTTTATAATATTTGTTGTTTATAATATTTGTAACTCTGCTTGTAATCAATATCGGTTTTTCAACTACTTCTTTTTCTTATAATATTTCTTTAATCTTAAAAAATGTTAATAGTTTATAATGCTTTTGACAAAAATAGAAAACATGTTTTTGTCTCTATTAGTGAGTCTCTATTAAATGTGCCCCCTGTCTATATTTGACTCATTTTAACATATAGTTACTAAAACAGGTAATAAATTTAAGAGCTAATTGTTTATGTTAATATTACATAAATCATTATTTTAATTATATTTATTTTAAAGTACACTCATAACACAACGTTCTTATCTTCAATATAGGGCACATTAATAGGGACAAGCTTAAAATCTTGTGGTACGTATTACTGGATTCACATAAATTCCTTATATCTTTCGAAAAATATTTAAAATACTTTAATATTCAAAAAATAAAATATTATCTTCGGTATCGTATGCATTAATAACTTAACTTAACAAAAAACATATTTTTTTCTTATTTGTGCTAGTTTTCTTTATGACTTATCGAAATACAAAAGCAGAATATATATATATATATATTTATATAAACTGTCGCAATTACTGTGCTGTCCCTATTATGCTTTTGTATTTCGATAAGTCATAAAGAAAACTATATATATACCCTAGAAATATATATATATATACCCTATATAATTATAATTTAATTTGTAGCAGATCTATAAATTTATTCGATATGCATAAGTATATTACAATATTATGATTATTTTATTATAATTTATAATTTTTGATGTGAGTGAAAAATATAATAATTGTCATTAAACAAATCATGATGAAAGTAGATGTTAAAATAAAGGAAAATTAATGGTATTATTAATTAAAGAAATATATATTAACTTTGGAAATTATATATTCTAATTACGAAACAATATTCGATTTATTATCTATCGTGTGAGTATTATATATAACGTATAAAGATGCGTATGAAGGTAATCCTGAGTTTTATTTTTCATAATTTTGTTCAATCTTGATAATAAATATTGGTATTTCCACGCACAAATAATAAACAGCGTAAAGAAAAGTGAAAAAATAATAACGCATATAAATAGTTAATCGTTTCTAAAAAAATAGTGATATTATTAGCATGATTATTATCGAAAAACTATACAATCTCTTTTCTTTCAATATAAAATGTTCAATATAAAATTCCGTTTAGAAACGGTTCCATACCTAAGCTTAGCGTATTGTTCTGCATGTCATGCTGTCGTTATGTAACCGATATATACATACATAATGATTTCAACATACTAGCAATTATGTTAACGACTAGAAAAACACGCGAATGTTTGTACTTTGTATATGCGGAGTATGTAATTGTACATAGAATCTAATCTAATCTAGAAACTTGAAAATAAGAATTTTGTTAATTTCTTAAGACTTTTTAAAAAGTCTTCCATATTCGATATAAAAGTAGATATATTGGTGTCCGTACATATATCATAATTTACGATAATACTGAAAATATTGTTATCGTTGGAATTAATCTGATATAGTATCGAAAAATTAATACTTATATGTTAGCTTTTACAACAAAGTTACGTAAGTGGTATTTAATTAATGAAGCGATGGAGTGAACGCATTTTGTAAGATTTGTGAAAAGAAAATGTGGCACAAAAAATCTTCAAAATATTTATCAAAAGTGTCTTATTAGGTTCGTAATCGGCAATGGTATATATGTATAATTAGTAACTATCACTAATAAAAAAGTTGACACAGAACGATAGAAAAATCTTATCGTTTTGAATATATTATAGAATTTGGTTCGTGAATTTACAAATTTGAATCAAATCTTATAGTATTCAATAAAATACGATAGGATTCATATCCGATGAATGATGTTCGCGATTGAAATCGACGATAGAAAATGATATAAATTCATAGAAAACAATACAAAAGCAATAGAAATTCTATTGCTCTCAATCATTCTCAACTTTTTTTACTAAGGATATATGTCGCGTATGTTTTTTAGATTATTTAAAAATTTAAATCTGACAGATGATCGATTATTTTATAAATTTCATTTATAAATTTCTATTGTATAGGCCGTGTTCGTATATTACTGCCAATACAGTATAGTATACGTGACGGGAACTATAGATTTTCAGTACTGGCAATAATACACGACATGGCTATATAGTAGATATATTGTATACATCAATACATATACATATAACAACATTGCATCATATAATGCAAAATAACGTGCTTTCGTCAGTAAATTGTCTTCGAATTCTAGTGACGTCGTATGACGCATTCACCAGCATTCACTTCCGTGATAGATGATCACTTTGTCTGAAAATAAATTATGACGCGCTCATCATTCATGCACAGGTCGCTGTCTTCTCTGATGCGTCTTACTTTGATCCGATTTACTTTGACACGAATAATGATAACCGATTCGATTGCACAATAAATTTTACGTTTACCTTTTGATGCATGTAAATTGCTTGTTCACTAAGAATAAAAGGAAATCACTGAAAATGAAGAAAAATCGATTTCATAACTCATCAGTCTTGTAGAAATTTATATATACTTAAAAATTTGAATTTTATTTATAATGCTTTAATCTAATTTTCCGAAAAAAGACTCGTCCAATTTTTTAACTATAATGATCGTATAAAATGAAATTATTCAAATAGCAAAGTGTTGTCATAATATAATATTTGTTGTGAGTTAAGAATTTTAATTCATATTAAAGTCATTATTAATTTATGGTGAGCGCCAAGTCAGCAACAAATACATTAGTATATAAAAAAAAAATATATATATATATATTTTTTTTTATGCCATTGTCAGGTTTGTTGCTGACTTGGCGCTCACCATAAATTAATAATGACTTTAATATGAATTTGCTTTTTACACAAAATGTGTAATATAATTTTTATAATTAGCTTCACTTAGAAAAATTATTTTCACTTTCCTCAGAATTTCTCATTAAATGTATTAAAATGTAGATTAACAAGAAAGATATTAGTAATAATAATTTTATTGATGAGTAAAAACAAAACACAGTAATAGTATGAATGCAATAAAAGAAAGACACGTATTCAATGGGCGAGACATCGGCAGTTATCTAACAGTTTAAATCCGAAGCAGAAATAAAAATAGAATAAGATGAAAAGTAAATACAAATTTGATAATAGATACGTAGATTAGCAAATAAGTGTAATAAGAAACAGAATATAAATATAAATTCGATAATATAGATAAAGCAGCACAAGAGAAATGCATCAAATTAAAACTTAGAACAAGTGTAAAAAGAAGAAATAAAGATATGGGATAATGATAATAATAATTGTATTAAAAATAATTATAATAATACAAGAGCAATACTATAATTGAGAATAATGAACGAAGAAAGAAAAAACGGAATTAGTACGCATAGCTATAGAATTGAATGCAAAATAATACTTGGATCAAAACAAATTCAATCAAATCAATACTAAAATTTTTAAAACAAAATTACAATATTTTTGTTACATTTATATATGAGTATATTATGGTTGATTCAAGAATACACTTTTTCTGAGTACGACATCTACAAATCACGCATTCGATATTCAGAGCCAGCAGACTTGAAAGCGGCAAGAGAGAAAGAAGAACGAATGTAGAAGGGTAAGAACTTGAAATACTTTACGTAAGAAAACGCAGCCTAAAACATAGTCGAATTATGTAGAGTATTGTAGAGGATAAGAAAAAAGACACTGGCAGCGTGATATTAGATAAAGGAAGAGCTAGAATGAAACTCATGAATGAAATAAAGACAATTACGAAGATAAGATTGAATATTAGAATGCAAAACATTAAAGACCAAGCAACACAAATGCAGAATAAATCTTTGACATATGTGTTGATATGTAAATAGTATCAATATAATCAAATAAGGAAAGGATGAGAAGATGGGAAATCATAAGTTTTTGCGAAATAGAAAGAACATGAAAAGGATACAGTTTACGAACATGTGCAACTTTGCATTTTGAGATGGGGTGGTTAAAAGAAGGAAGGATTGACATGTAAACCAAGAATGCAGATACAAAAGAAGGATACAATAAAAATAGAGAATTGAGACATCAGACAGCGACTGGAACTCATATTCATATAAAAGGATTTAGTATTATTTAAATAATATGTAAAGATGCGACGATAACGACAATGATGCTGATAATCAGCAGTAAACGTATAAAGAGATGAGGATCAAGAATGGAATCCTGAGGAACATCAGACGGCACACCGCGAAGAGAGGATAGCATAGAAAGAGAATTGTAAGTTGCAGTGTTGAGAATGGTTTAAGATATAGGAACGAAAGAAAATAGTTGGACCATAGAAATAGATAAACCATAGTGATTTAGCCAATAGCAGTTCATAGTTACTGTGTCAAAGACCTTTGAAATTAAAACATTTTTTAGATATTAATATATCATTAATATTTAAAATTTATTTTAAAAAGCATGTAGTTTTCTGAAGTACGTGTTTTATCGTTTGATTATCTGTTGCGAAGAAGTTTTTATATGAAAAATTAAATTATGATTATTAAAGTTCGAATCGATGCACACGCTCCAAATGATGTTGATTCAAATATACACAATTTACGACATTCTCTCGAGTCTAAAGAAATCTCTAGGTATCATTGATAACATGCATTCTCGAGCAAATATCATGCAATCAAGAGCAAACGTGGAACAGATTTAATTTCATGAGTAATCTTGCTCAACGCATAATCAAATGTCTTTTTGCAATTTCTGAAAAAGAATTATATATCTGCAAAAGGATTATATATTTTATATATATATATGTAAATAATTAAAATGGTATACCTTGTGTATGTGTAACACAATTAATTTTCTTTGAAATTACTGATAATTCAAAAAAATGTTTTAAATGAAAGTGGAACGGTTTCGAAAAAAATTTTGGGTACTCATCATAGTATATAGTTAGAGCACTTTGGAATACTCATGGCTTAGGTATTTCGGCAAATCCAAAGAATTCCTATCCGATAACGCTCTAGAATTTATTTTGAACGAATTTAAGATATTCTGTAGTAGGTTACACATTAAACACACATTTATCTCGGTTTATCATTCTCAGAACCGGTTGTTCCATTTTCAGATAAACTATGTGGTAATTTATCTATTGGATAAACAAAAGAATAAAAGAGTAACAGCATAAAAGAGTAAGAGAGTAAGACAGTGAGCTGAAGTTTACCGAAAGGTAGAGCAATCCAGTCTCGGTCGGACAGTAAAAATGAAAGATTTAAATGCGTAAGTATGCTCTACGGATTTCCATGCTAGAAGTATTCGAATTTTCCAGCAAAGCAGAAACATCTTATCGAGTCTTATAAAAGGAAAATTCTTGGACTGCAGCGATAGTTCCTTGAGTTTCTTACAAGTAGTGTGTTACACAAAATCCTAGTACAGTTATAAGTCCGAAACTAATATAAGTTCGTATAAGTTATACAAGTTATTGTACACAAATTATAAATAAATTTCTTTTTTTGGAATAATATTTCTTGAAAATTTTACATTTTAAAGTTTTGTCGGAATAACATTCTCAAATTTACGGAATAATCCATCATGAATTTGAAAAATGTGAAAATATTTTTGCATTTTTTAATTCCATTAACAATATGTCAATATATTCAAAGTCAGTCTCATGCATACACACATACACCTAATTATAATTTAAAAGGCCTGAGTAATTATGGTAAGTATTTAATAGTACATATATTGTATTTAGAACATAATATTTAAGTAATTTTTCCGAAATGATAAATCTAGGAGATCAAATAACTAAAATAGCGGGCGGACAATACGCAAGATTCGGAGATTTTCCGTACATGGTAGTGGTGCATCAAATCCTAGGTAATGGAAACATCGGACAATGCGGAGGCACAATCTTATCAAAAAGATGGATTCTCACAGCCGCTCATTGTACGGAAAAATACCCACGAAGATTTTTGATAATTTTCGGTATCGTTAACATCCAGTATGGGATAAGCTACGATACTCATCAAGGTCCCGGTGGGTCCATGATTGCGACTCAAGCGATTATACACCCATATTACAGTTCGGGCTTAAACGACATTGCTCTAATTTATACGCCGCATGATATTCCATTCTCCAGTAAGTATATTTAAATTAACCCTTATCGTACAAGATAGGGTCACTGGTGAGCGATTCCTGTTCGTGCAAGTTTCTTTGAATCTTTTGATAATTATAAATTATACAATATTTTATTATTTTCCAAAATTTTCGAATTTCGGTCTAAAACAATTATATTTTCTGAGAGTAATATTATTAAGAATCTTTATTTTAAATTGCATATGTGAGAACACAATTAATATTAGAAATTAAAATGCCTATAACGATCGAAGCTAGATCTTTGCTTAAATAATTCAATCTTGAACTACTATATATACCATATATGTACTTGCACACCATTGTAGTCTTTCGAACTGCGCGTTGAATTATTTTTCCGGACTATAAACGCAATTAAACTAGTAATCGCGAATTAAATTGACAAGCAATTTTAATAATTTGATGTTACAATCGAGCATCATATTATAAAGATGTTAATATGTTGAAGAATTATTAATATATTTATTTATATAATATTACAGTAATATTATTGATAAAAATAAAAAGAATCGAAAATTTTGACTCTTTAAACCAGGTTCTTCTCTTAAAAATAGTATGAATATTAATATAATGTCGCAGCATTAATATTAAAAAATAGTTAAATACACATTTCTCTATTTTAGGAACTGTTCGACCGATAAACCTTGCTTATGAAGACTCAGAAAATTTTGACGGTAAATCTGCTTTTGTGATCGGTTGGGGAATAACTCACACGGGGAGTAGCCAAGCTTCGACAAGACTTCAGTACACCACACTGCCGGTTATTAAAAATACTGTATGTAGGCAATTCTGGCACCAAATCACTGAGAAAGAGATTTGCACGGCACCAGGATTAGGACGAGACGCCTGTCAGGTAAAATAATAAAAAATAGTAAAATAATGTTATAAAATATGCACTATAAATACCTATAAGTGAAATACTTTAATAAGCAACTATGAATCAATTCAAATATTTTTTAGCTAGTTTTAATAAATGAACATTGACGGTATTCTTTTTCATATATTTAATATTTGATATTTTACTTTTAGGGTGATAGCGGTGGTCCACTCGTTGTAGTAGAAAATGGTATGGACATTCAAATCGGTATTGTGAGTTACGGAGACGTATATTGCCCTAGCCATACACCCGGCGTTTTCACTAGGGTTTCTTCATATACAAGCTGGATTCACCAAATTATAATGAGATCGTTTAATATAGACTATACTTTTTGATTTTTTTAAATGTTGATATATTTAAATACATATGACAAATAATATTAAGAAGATTTACGTACATAAAATGTCCATAAAAATACGTAACATTAAATCCAAAATGTCATAATGAAATTGGAGAATTTAAATACAAAGTATTAAACATTGGTATTAAAAGTATATTTTGTATATGTGAAGTGATGAATAAACTTAATACAGAATTTTATTCATATACTCGATAATTTAAATACATTATATATATTACTTAAAAAATTGGTATTTAAATGTACATTTAATGCATATATATTTTTTTTTGTAAAACACTACTCTTTATAAAACAACGTAAAATATACTTATAAAGATATATATTTTAATTTTATATATTATAAATATACATATAAACATATTTTTTTGCATTTTACAAAAAGTAAAGTAAAAAAAAAACAAGAGAAATTGTATTGTTTTACGTATCGATATCAAAAGAAAATAATACAGTTACTAATTAAACGATCAAATAAAATAGATCTTTGATTAAGAAACACAAAAAATTATTTTTTAATTAATTGTAACGTGTTTTTAAATCTATAAACATAAGTTAAAGAATAGCATGTTTGCAATATATCTTTAAAGTTAATTAATTTTGGATAAAACAGATATCTGCATAAAAAATTTGTAACATTTTTTTATTAACCATTTACATATTTTCACCTACCAATTATTCTTTCTATCGTAACTAGAACTATCATTTGTATTGTTCCAAATGTACTTGTTGAAGTTATGAAATAGTGCACTCTTATTTTTCACTTATTGGAGCTGAATGTACTTTTTTTAAAAGATAGACCAATACTTTGGTCAGTATCTTATTTATACCTTTAAATCATAATGGTATTTATAAAATACGATAACATCTATATCTTGATATAATATATAGATTAATCTTATTATAAATGACTAACAAAATTAAAAGAGTGATAACTTTTTTAATGTAATAATAATTGTCTTATATTTTATATACAAATTTGTAATTAAATGTAAATTAGCATGATATTATATATTTATACATTTATTTTAATTATTATTATTATATTATTTAATAACAAATAAAAACTTTGTTGTTTGAGTATCAAATATCTCATCCTAGAATTTCGATTGCATCCATCACTTTCCGAAACATATATGGATTCTAATATTAATCCAAATACCGATGAAATAAACTCTAATGCCCGTTCCTATCAATATAGATTAATAGTATTAATTTTCCAGCCTGGAAATTGCAATACAGATTAATATGAGTAGTAGAGATCAAATAAGCGAGTAATTTAATCGATCTATAATTAAAATTAGTTAACTAAAACAATTATAAGAGGTAAATTAGTTATTTAGTAATATATAGTAGAACGATTCTTTTATTATTCTGTACATAGGATTATAAATCGAATTTTCTATGATATTTAGCATTAGCTGACAGAGTATTTAATAACTAAAATATTAAAAAGAATCCATATAAAAAAAAAATAAATAATAACAGTCTGATCTCTCTCGAAATTACAAGTTAGAAACATATTAAGCAATTTTTTAATAAACTAATACAAGTTTGTTTGAAAATTGTTAATATAGTATATTAGTTTTAGAGAATATATTAATAATCCACCATCTAGGAGGTAACAGCGACCCAGATTGATTTGTCTGCCATTAAAAATGCTTAGAAAATGTTTTTAATTTTAAAGATTTTTTAAATGGTTTTCATATTTAATGTGTAAACGCATAAAATGTATCAGTATACACATCAAATTACTCTAATACCGAAAGAGATTATTATTGGAATTAATAATGATCGAAAAATCAATAATACATCAGTTTTTAGGAAAGATGCTTTGTAGTATAATTGAGGACGATGGAATGAGCGTATTTTGTAAAGAAAACGAGGCGCAGGCAATCTTCAAAATAATTTATTAAAAATGTCGCATATTCGTTATATTTCGAGTCGGTAATCGGCAATGGTACAATTAGTAACTATATGTATGTCGCGTGAGCATGTTTCGGAGGATCAATTAAAATTTACGTCTGGCAGGTGATCGGTCGTTATTGTTCTTATTTTATCATGAATATAAATTAACATAGTGTGTGTATATGTATTGCTATATATATATGTTTATATATGTACATATATATACATATTATATATATATATATATAAGTACATCGCAAGAGTCATTGAAATACCAGTAACACGAAATCGCTTCGGCGACTTAAATAAATATATAAATTTATATACCTTTGTTGTGAAATGCAAATGTATTTTCGTCAACGAATCGTCTAATGCTAAGATTGGATTCTGATGACGTCATATCAGTCATATGACACATTAAATTCCGTGAGAGACAACCACTTCGTCCGTAAATGAATCATGACACGTTTATAATTCACACATAGGTCGTTGCCTCCGTTGATTGATCACGCTTTGATTCGATTTAACACGAATAATGATTGCTTATTCGATTGCACAATGACTTTATTTTTGTTTTCTAATGCAAATAAATTATTCGCGGAGAATAGAAGACAATCGCAGACAATGAAAAAAAATTTATTCCGTGAATTTTGTTAAGAAGAAAAATAGAACTTTGAAATTTGAATCTTTATTTTGCTTTAATCCAATTTTTTAAAAAGAAATTTTTTGTTTCTTCCAATTTTTTAATTAAAAATTGTATACTTATATATATTAAAATAATAGTACAAATGATTCCAATTTCACATATATATTTATAATTGGAATTATTAAAATAAATTTATTTTTTAATTTTGTAAATTAGTATTATTATACTATTTTCTCATTTTAATTACAAATTAACTATATATATATAATTCAAATTATATAATAATAAATATTAATTCTAATTTCTCTATTATATGATTTTAATGTACAATCGCATCATTACATTTGCGGATTCTAATTCCTGGCAAAAAAAAATGAATATTTTACACAATAAAATTATTAGCAGATTTTTAGATGATTAATTATTAACATCGTGAAATGAATATTTTTACTAAATGCTTATTAGCATCAAAAATTATTAAATTACTTACACAATTTAATATTTAATAATCTATTTCTGTGCATAAATTTTAAGACCAGAAAAATAATTTGGCGCGCGGTTTGTGTAATCAATAATGAATATAAATTTATTTTAAATAATTAAAGCATTTAAAATCCGCTTCGAAAATAAGAATTTTTTATATTTAATTAAAGCATTCATGTTTATGAATTCGCGATTCGTGTCACGGTCTTCAAATAGAGCGATTACAAAAAAGTATTAATAACATGTGCGTTTATGCATGTCGTGGCAAGATTGCATGAGTGTGCGTGTGCGTGCGCGCGCGCGTGTGTATTTGTGTGCGTGTGTTATGTTATTGTCAGATTTCTTGCTGACTTTGCGCTCACCATAATCTCATATAATGACTGAGAGACAAATTTAACATGAATTTGCGTTTATACAAAACGTATAATTACATATACGCTTCTTATAATTAGCTTAAAAATTATTCTCACATTCCACAGAATTTTTCGTTAAATACTAAAACAGCGGATAAACAAGAAAGATATTCCAAAAAAAAAAAACGTACAATTTTCTGAAACATATATTTTATCGTCTGATTAATTGTGCCTGTTGGAAAAAATTTTCGTATAAAAAATCAGATTATTATGAATATCGATACACATAATTCAACGTTGATTTGAATACATAAATTTCATGTACAATTTACGACATACTCTCGAATCGAGTCTAAAGAAATGAATCTCGAGGCACGATCATCAGACTTGCAGTTTCCATCGAATGCCATGCAATTTTGCGGACATGGAAAAAATTTAATTCCGCGAGCAATCTCGCTCGGAGTATAATCAAATCACTCTATACAATTTTAAAAATGAAAACGCTTTTGCAACAAATGAGGCGATCTCGTTGCTGTAAAATATATAAATACATCATTATTTGCATTGAAATATAAATGACTGATGTAGCAATGACGACCGAAAAAAAATATCACCTGGCGTCGTGGAATGATGGTAGATGATATGAAAATTGAGTTTGTAGAAACAGTTTATGTCATTCGTCTTTGTATACAACAAAACTCTCAAGATCTGTAAAGATATTTTCGAAAATACGTTACGTGAAAGTGGAATCGATTGATTCTTTAATTCATACGCATCAATTTGCGCAGTTGTTCTAAATTACGACCAAATTTTTTCAGGGCTGTATTTATACTTTCTCATTCATAGATTTAGGAGATTATCAGATAACCGTTTCATTATTGATAATTAATAAAGCGCGTATATTTTTTTAAAGTATATTTTTTTACAAAATAAAAGGTGTTATATTATAAAGAATCACGAAACAATGGCTATCTCGATACGCAAAGGCAGCATCGATCATCATTTTAATTTTATTAATAGCAATGATTAAACGTCTGTTTTTATTTAAAAAAATGACGATAAAACGAGGTGATTATTTATTACGTATGGGAGTTTTTGCAAAGTATCTAGACGCCCAAGATGATAAGTGCCGAATCTATGCAATCACGCGAATTCTTTGTCTCGATAATATTTGTTCATTTCTGTAATATTCTCGCAGGTAATGCACTTTGTAACAAACACGTAATTGGGGCGTTTTTTCGTTATCCAACTAGAAGCTAACCACCTAAGACCTTCTCCATCTTCAGGGATCAGAAGACGAAGATTAGCCGTGATTGCTTCTGGTTGCATAACGAAAAAATGTCACTGTTAGGTACGGTTGTTTGTCTGTTGTGCAACAAAACTGTGCTAGTTTGCTTTGCTTGACATTTTTTTCCTTATTTCATTTTGATACAGCGCTTCTCACTCGCTTATCTAATTTGAAATTGATTCCTACAAATCTTTAACAATAGATAATTACAATGATAAAAGTGTCATTGTACTTATTCCATTATAATAATGCATGAATAATCGTCATTAGTTTCCTGGACGTTAAACAAGTATAGTGAGAAAAGCGAAGAAGAAATGAACGCAATGATCAAAAGTTTAATATACTTCAACATATTGTATTTACTATACCAAAGTCTTTTTCTTTTCTAATAGCGTATACGCAAGTTATATTCATTTC